GCAATACTAGCGATAGGGCGGGTTCCGAGATACTAAAATCGCAGGCTGTTTGCGGTACGGGGGGATTTGCGTGACATAGGGGGAGATGTTAGTTAAGTAACTAACTAGTTAGTATCTGACACGCTGTCTGGCGGCATTCTGCTTAGTAATCCGCGTGGTCTGTGTGTTCTGTGTTAGAAGTGAGACGTGTCTAAAATTGCCGACTTCTATAGCTTCTAGCTTTACAGCGTGTAGGCTGCACGACTTGGGATAAGTTGCAATTGATTTTTTATGACGGATTTGTATATGTTTAATCGAAATTACACCTATTCTAGAAAACTCGAAGTCGCTGTTTTGACGTGGTACTTCTAGGTTGTGTTGTAAGACGCGATCTGGCGTTGGCCTGTCCGGCACCTCTATTCTCGCACACGTCACTCCACCGAATCGTCAGACAAACTCTCACCAGCTGTAATTTAACCACCAACAACGCAAGTTGAGAATCCAGCGTTTGAGGAGTATTTTCTATAGGTGACTGGGTCTGATGTCTCCTTGGTAGCAGTGATAAATGACATCAGGAAACCAACACAATGATTTGTATGCCACTCTGTGGAGGATGATGGTGGTAGCCTTCCCCATTGGTCCCTTAACTTAATCATTCTCTTGAAAGTATACAAACAATGCGCAGCATGATCAAGTGGGGTGCCGTAATATGGAGGTCCTGGTGAAGTGCGCTCGCTAGTCTCTTCACGGCTGAGGGTCTGAGTTCCTTCCCTGTCTGCCCACCACAGCCAAGGACCAGCCTCCTCATATTCGTTCATCGTCTCCTTGTCAAAGCATTGTTCTGGCATCCAATCCCCGGATAGTATATCGTATACACATCCAAGGCTCTTCGCTTCAGCTGTCGAGTTCCCGCAGTGTAAGGTACGCGACGCTGGCCACGTCGGCTTCGACGTTGCAAGCAACATTCCGGTCCAAAATACCAAGCAGAGGCTCCAAATCGTGAGCATGACAACTTTGTATGTTAAGAACTTCACTTTTGGATGTGCCTCTCGGATGCGTAGTTCTTCAGAGTCCTTATATTCTTCAATCAGTTGTTTCTGTTCGGCTTCATTGCGCATCTTGACTCGCGAGTCTCGGTCTATGAACAACCACATCATCTTTCGTTGTCTGCCTTTTTAATCTGGAAATCAGCTGAAGTCTACAGTTAGAACTAGACATGGTTCCTTACCGACTGTGGTTTGTGAGGGTTAGAAAATAAGGGGAACAATGCCGAAAACCACTGTACACAAATAGCTGAATTATGAGAACATTTGTAGATAGCTAAGCAGTGATACTTGTACAGCTTTTTATGTTCTGCAAGTTATCAGCGGAATATAGTATAGCTTTTATGTCAGGTTTCAATACATCTGAGCTTAAACTCCGTTCTGCTGAAAATACCCCTCTTTCGGATGGCATTTCAGCCTAGGTAAACCTTCGGGAATTATCACTTTCCCAGAACTTACTCGACGAGATCGTCACATTCGCTAGCCATGGCTTACTGTAAGGATCCGCGCTCTCGGGAGCAAACGCTGGATATACGAGAGAATGTATCCGATAGAGAGCTAGGCTCTAGACTACGTAGCTATCTATATACAATACTGGTTGCCTAAGCAACAATCGGACCAGGTAGTAGTAGATAGAATCTGGGTGCTTTAGGTAGCACCCAGATTCTGCGAGAAAACCGAGATTTCTATTGAGGAGATATCTAAAGGGCGTCTATCCTGTGACACCTATATATAGTTAACGTAGGTGCATAGCGAGTGACGCACCCCAACAGATTATCATAACTTCTGCACGTAATTGCCCAACACCACCAGGACATATTATAGCTAAAACTAGACAATATTAGTTAATCATTAAATTCTATTATTTCTTTTTCGCACGTGCGGGAACTATGTCCCGTCTTTTCGCAGCGCTTGCAGTGCCTTTTGCGCTGCTTGATTGCATCTGTTCGGGCCCTACCTTCACGCGTTTCCCCGTCTACCTGCGCTCTAACATCTAGTCCAGCTATCAAATCCTCTGCCTGTTCTTTTGAAAGGTCCCCACCCTCTTGGATCCGCTTCCGCTTCCTTGGTTTATGCTCAGAAGCAGCCTTGTTTGACGCTTCAAGTTGCAGCACTCGGGCTGCTAGCAACGTCTGCGAATGCAATATCATCTCAGTGCCCTTTCTAAGCTGATCAAACATACTAACTATAGCAGAAGGTGAGGAACTTTGATATTTCCGAATACGATCTCGAAGCAGCGTCGATCAAGCTTCTACTTCAGCAGCGTTGGTGGGTGTCTTAGGGTTCCATTGTGTCGCCCCTAGGAGAGGCAGTGTTGGCGTGCAAAGCTTGACATCAAGCTTCGATAGCACCACTGATGGGTCGTTAGGCACTAGTCCAGTTGCTCTAAAGCTTGAAGTAATGTTAGCCTTTGAGAAAGCTGTCTCAAAAACTTTCGCAAACGACACGATGAATGCTTTTTTGCCAATTCGGCCAATGTGGTCTGTCGCCAAGGCTCGGATCTCTTTGCTATCCTCCCGCTTCAAACGAGCAAAACACCCCACATCAAGTAGTTGTAGGATATGGGATGAGTATGGCGGCATACAGAGGTTACATAAGCTCGGACACCTAGTAATGGCCACACCCAGTAGTGGCCACCCCAATCAAAACAGCGTCACCAAACTTTGAAGCCAAATATCATAGCAACA